AACGGATAAACGATTTTAAAATTCATTTTACACATGTAGGCGGTGCTGAAACGCCCACTTTCCTCTAATTGGTTAACCAAATCTGCGCTCGTGACGTCCCCCTTAAAATAAAAGCCTTACACGCAGGCTTTTAATTATTATTATTATTTAATTATATATTACTTAAGTTTACATATTCTATCATTTGAACCACACACAGTTAGCAGGCTTACATTCATTGCGTATGTATAAATTAAATAAAAACGTAAATCAGCAGTATTTTTAGACATTTGTCATTAAAATAAGGTCATAGTTCACTGCCAAGCTTCTTGCTGCTGTGCACCTGATGCAGAGCAAAGATAGCCATTTCCGAGCAGCACCTGGTTTGCATGATTGTTTCAGAGCAAGGGCTTTATAATAATAATAATAATAATAATAATAATAATAATAATTATTATTATTATTATTATTATTATCATTATTATTATCAGTTACTAGTGTTTTTATTGTTTGGTGTGATTTTTTTCTTTTTAATAGTTGTTAGCAGAACCAGAATAAGAACACTTTGGGCCCTGCTATAAAAACAAAGGGTACCATTTGTTTTCATTTATTTCTTCCTATTTTAATTATATATTGTAATTATTTATTTGATAATTAATACTATTTTATTGCAACGCCAAAGTAGGCCTGTCTTATTATTTTTTTTATTATTAAATTTGCTGTTATTGTAGGCTAGATGGCAGGCTTTAAATATTTTAAATAACATTTACTCATAACCTTACTAATTCGAGAGCCGAACCTAAAAAAGTTTAAGTGCAATAAGCCTGTACAATAAAGGGAGCCGCAATGCATATTTCTAGCGCATTCTTTCACTCAACAATTATTGCTGGAATAATGAAATAAATTTCAAATTAACCAATTAAACACATTATAGTTGATAAAAAAATTGTGTCTAGTAGTTCCGACAAACAGATGAGCTCGCTACATGTGCGTTGCGCTAATAATTTGACATTTGCTCTTCTTGAGAAAGTGCTACAGCGGGCCCTGCTATTTCACATATAAGGTTAGTGATACGTATTTTAAATTAGTATTGCACATTATTCATTCATTTTCTTGTCGGCTTAGTCCCTTTATTAATCTGGGGTCGCCACAGCGGAATGAACCGCCAACTTATTTAGCAAGTTTTTATGCAGCGGATGCCCTTCCAGCCACAACCCATCTCTGGGAAACATCCACACATACACACACACTTATACAGTACGGACAATTTAGCCTACCCAATTCACCTGTACCGCATGTCTTTTTACTGTGGGGAAAACCGGAGCACCCGGAGGAAACCCACGCGAACGCACTACACTACTGAATTAGACACACAATCTCAAAAAAAACTTGATGCTTATTTACATTATCTAAAGTCATTTCTGAGGTAGGATCTGTTGTTGTATTATATATTTTCGTTTTAATATGCAAATAATTTTCTTTAATTTGTAATAGGTCCCTCATTGCATAAAATAACCAGCCTTTGTATTCAATATGTTTGTAAATTGTCCATCCAGTTTGACGCAAGCTAAACAACATTTTGGCCTGTTTTGCTTATTAAATGAGTGATTTTCACGGAGAAACAAATCATCCATCCACACAGTTTTGTATAGGACCTGTGTGAACAAAAATATACACTTCATCATAGCCTATAGGAAAATGTATCTGTTTAGAACCAATTTTGTGTTGTATAATTAAAAATATTAAAAATACAATAAAAATAAAAAGAAGGAATAACATTTGAAGTGCAATGCTTCAAAGATCTAATACGCTGCATGCAGAGCCAAAACAAAAACTGGTTTGTTTGTTTAATAAAATAATAATATGAAATTAAAGTGAAATAGTTCCATAACCTGTATTATAACTGTAGTCACCCTAGATGACAAATCATCCGTTGCGCCGGTCAGTTTCACCTTTAATCAAGCATGTGCCAGAACCAAATGAGAATATTTACAGATTACCTCGGAATGAGACCTCGGTCTGTGAAGGATGCAGAACACAGAAACTCGCTGAGAATGGAGATGCATGTTAGATGTTTTATATCCCTTTAGATATTGTAAATAAACAACTAGTTTTTATAGAGATTGTGTCATGTCTTTTCTTTGACGCACGCGGTGAACAGCCTGTAGCCTAAATAATAGTTTAGATTTTATAACATATAATGTTCCATTACTTTAAATGTATAATGTTTTTTAATATTTATAGATTATATAAAATATATAGTTTATATAAATGCGCTCTGATCATTCAAGGATCATAATGTGTTGCATATTCTTCTTATTCTTCATTGATCCGTAAATTGTGTATTTTATAAACTGATCGTTTATAAGGACTAAGCTATTAATAACTGTAATTCCTCGAACGGAAAAGTCTTGATTAAAGAAAAAGAGAACTTAATTCGACATATGCATATAGTGTGCTTATTTCTGCGCGCATCGCGCGCTTTACCGAATTACCTTTTTTATTTTTTATGCACTATAAATGCATCTGGCAGCACCGAAAAGAGCAAATGCCAAGTTATTAGCGCAGCGCACAGACAGCTAGCTCGTCTAGTCTGAACCAGGGGTTTTCAAACTATTCATTGCACACCGATCCCATTGCATTTTATTTAGGATAAACCACTTATTTAAAATTAATTAATTAAAAGGTGCGTACTCTCCAATACACCACTGAATTATAGTGTCATAATATTTAATAATTATAATTAAGATAGACACCTGACCTCCATTTAATAAACAATTTATTTGCCATACTCTGTTAATTTTAAGTTTAAAGTTTAAATCATTTATGTTAAACTTAAATTATTTAAAAACTTAAGACTTAAATTTAGCCATTTAAGACATTTTAGGTCATAAGTTTACATACATTGACCGTTGCATTTAGTATAGGCCTATTCTGGTCTAAATAAGCTTTTTGCATCTTAGGTGTTTACACACACACATTAAGCAGTTTATACGTACATTTAATGGTACTTTGAAATTACTTTTGATGCAATAAATAATCCTAAATAGTTGAAAGTGTTAACATATTCTTGAAATGTAGTTATTTTATAACTATGAAATTTATTACTAAACAAAGTGAATCATTATGAATTTGCCAAGAAATAATCCACTTTACCACCGTAAAGCAATGCCCCACACTCACTAGAACGGTAGGACTGTATGATATGTTCTGTATGTAAAATAGAGAAAATAAGCAAGATGCGCAGTCTCATGCAGCCTTAGTGAAATATAGCGCGTCACAGCAATGAACTAAAAATAAAACCACCCTTGAAATGCTGGCGATCTTAATTTTTTCAGCCTACACTGACTGAGAATAATGTTGCACTATTTTATTAACAAATAATTAGAATGTTTTTTTTTCCTTCAACACATTCATCATTACTTTTGCCTGTGCAAGTTGTTTGCGCGCGCTTGAGCGCGAAGGCATCTATTTTCAGGTGCAAGATGCCACTTTGGGTGGCACCAGCACACTCTGCCACACCTGTGGCTATGTCCCTGCTACAATAATAATAACAACAACAACGACAAAATAATAACAAAAAATAATAATAATAAGACAGGCCTACTTTGACGTTGCAATAAAAAAGTATTAATTATCAAATAAATATTTACAATAGGCTAAAGGCATATATTAAATTAAAATAGGAGAAAATCCAATAGAAACAAATGGTACCATTTATTATAGCCCCATGCAGGGTCCATTGTGTTCTTACAACCATTAAATAACTAAGTAAATAATAATAATAACAATACTAATAATAATAGGCCTAATAATAATAATAATAATAATAATAATAAATTATTATTTTATACAGAGTAGGCTATTATTTAGGCCTACAATAGCTCTGAAACAATCATGCAAACCAGGTGCTGCTCGGAAATGGCTATCTTTGCTCTGCATCAGGTGCACAGCAGCAAGAAGCTTGGCAGTGAACTATGACCTTATTTTAATGACAAATGTCTAAGAATACTGCTGATTTACGTTTTTATTTAATTTATACATACGTAATGAATGTAAGCCTGCTAACTGTGTGTGGTTCAAATGATAGAATATGTAAACTTTGTTTATATATATAATTAAATAATAATAATTAAAAGCCTGCGTGTAAGGCTTTTATTTTGAGGGCGACGTCACGAGCGCAGATTTGGTTAACCAATTAGAGGAAAGTGGGCGTTTCAGCACCGCCTACATGTGTAAAATGAATTTTAAAGTCGTTTATCCGTTTTCCTACCCTAAACCAAAAAAAAAACGAAAATCCAGCCAAAATCTCGTTTTTTCGTTTTCTCGTGAGCAAAAGAAAAACGGAAAAACGGCCGTTTTCTCCATTTCCTTTATTCCGTTTGAAAATGGGAAACAAATGAACAAAACGTACACGGACCGTACACGGACCATATTTTGACTCATTATTTCGTTTTGGTTTTGTGTTTGTTTTAATATTTCGTTTGAAGTTAATAAGCAGAATAACAGATGAGTTTCCGTTTTTTCTGCCTACAGAATAAACAGAAAAACGAAATATTCATCGTTTTTCTGATGTTTCGTTTTCCGTAATAAAAGGAATAATCAAATGAACGGATGATACACGGACCTATGTGTCCTAACCGAGAGTTTTTATTAAACTCTTTGTACTAAAAACATCTGTGAATAAGTAAATAAAGCTTCAAATGGATGGATTTAAATACACTCTGTGTCTTTTTCTGCTCAGTGCTTAACACAATAGCTTTCTGTTTATTATAGGTCATGGAAATTCAGATTTTAGTCTGGAAAAAAGCCAGGGAATTTGACATTTGGCTTAGAGTGGGTAGAGTTAAACCCTGGATTTAGTGTGCCACCTAATGGTACTCAGCTGAATAGCATATTGCTAACTCAAATCATTTTTTGCTAAAAGAATTTAATCAATAGTGCTTAAGCTGATTTAAAATTGTCTAAAAAGCCCTAAAAGCCTCTAATATATTTGTATTAAAATTCTACAAATTTTTTAGGTTTTCGCATCTGAAGGTCATTTCTTACCCCTCAAACTGGTCAGTGGCAATTATGCCTACAGCATGGAGGCTACTTGCCCTAACGGTTTGTTAATTATAATATTATATCACTGCACATCATAACATACCATAGTTTTTCAGTCACTAACAGCTACACTGCATGTTTGTTTTAGGGAACACGTCGTCATCTAATGAAACGGTGCTGCATATCTATAAGCGGCGCATGGGTTTGACCAAAAGAGGGGGATATCAAAATGAGACCCTGTCAGTAAGCAGTGTGATGGTGGAGCAGACTGACACGTTTAGCTGGACGGAGACCACTGACTTTGTGCAGCTTATCATTCCTACATCCTACATTCAACAGAATAAGGTTAGTAGTGAATGATTTTGTAAGTTCACATAGAATGCAATACTTCTATACAGTACTGATGTATTCACTTGATCAAGATAATAAAGGTAGTTAAAGGTCCCATGAAGTTTTTTTTAGATGTTAGTATCAGTATTGTTACATTTAAAGATATCTATAAGCTAGTGTGGTCCACAACAACGACAAAATTTGTGTTTAGAAGATATAAATCTGATATAAACATGTAAAGCTTGTAGTTTGTAACTTCCGATTTAATGGTTTTATTCATGTTACCTCATACTTAAGTTAATCAAATCATAACCAATCAAATGCTCTCTATTATCTGACAAGCCCCGCCCCCTTTGAGAAGTTTATATATATATATATATATATATATATATATATATATATATATATATATATATATATATATATATATTTTTTTTTTTTTTTTTTTTTTTCCATTTGCTTGAGATCACCCACTCCTCCTGGCAGAGCTGTGATGGAACAAAACACTTTTGGCTGTTTTTATTTTTAAATTGGAGGAGCTACACTGTATCTTTTCACATTTTGGTTGAGATTGCGTCAAACATCGAATAAATGCATATTCAAAGCATCTTACGGGACCTTTATACTGTCACATGTTTTCTATTTAACTGTTGTTTATTTTATACTTATTCATCAGAGAATCCTGATGCAGAATGTACAAAATCTATGCAGAATAGTTTTCGACATTTATAATAGCAAAAATTGTTGGAGCACAAAAGCAGCATGTACTGTAAGAATATTTGGATAAAAATGTTTAGCACCATATAGTAACCAGTGCTTCCCACACATAAACTTAACTTGGGCGAGCCACCCAGGTAAATTAACGTATTTTTTATCATCTTTTTTACTCTTTTAATTTTTTTTCTATCCACCCAATATAACAAAATGATCGATTAAGTAGTGAAAATCTTCTCTTTTGCATCCGTTTCATACTGCTTGTTTTATGTGCGCAAGAACTGTCAAAACTCCTACTGACAGTCTCGCATGCTCTGCGGATCCACAAAGATGTGCCTTTTTTGTCCGCCCAGGGTTTCTAAATCTACTAAAATGTCTGGGATTTGGCTTTTGCTTTCTCTTTCTAAAGCTGTCGTTAATTCTATGTGCACACGCATGTTGTGAGAGTGAGAGAAACATAAATTAATTCCTAATTCTAAACCACTCAGAAAAGCTTTAGTAAATGCTCAGAGAGGATGAAATTACATCTAATTGGCTGCAAAATATTTGCACACCATTAGAATTAAGGTTAATCAGTCTTATTTAAGCCTTATTTAAATTATCTACACTTTTTATTCTTGTAATTGTTATAATTTTATTGTGTTTTTTTCTTCTTCCTTTTATTCCTATATATTTTACTAATTTGAGGATATGTTACACCTTTTATACATCTAAAATTCTTTGGCAATATTGTACAAAACATCATGCCAATAAAGCAACCTGAATTTGAATGCGAGATAGAGAAAATCAGATTTTACCTGTCAATGGGTGCACATGGCTCTGGAATTGCATAAAAGTAGTAGAAATAGGGATAGTCTTTTTTAACTTTAACCCATTGAAAAGAAACACAGTTCATAACAGTTTCTTAATAAATAAAAATGTAAAAAAAAATCGAATTATGTTTTGTTTGTCGCATACAGTCAACTATTTGATGTGTTCAAAGGTATTCCGCAAGTTCCGCAAGTGTATTTCAAACCTGTGGGAAGCACTGAGTAACCATTGTACGCTAATATTTATTTTCTTTAACAAAAATACTTTTAATTGGCTGTAGTTTAGCTGTAGTTTTAGTTGTATAACAACCTTGCTCTGAGGTAATGGAATTATTTTCTTTGTATTTATATTTATTTTAGTGTATCTGTGGATACATTAATTATAGTTAAAGTGCTGTTTTATATTTTAATAGAAATATTTTCTATCATGAGGAAATTCTGGTGTTCGTTCAGTTTTATTTAACAAGATCTTTTCAAATTAAGCCAAGTAAATAAATCAGATAAAGCTACAGTTTCTTATTTATACTATTTTGCAGGAGTGTTTAAGTCAAACAGGAGAGAAACTTCAGCAAAATTTCTACAAGATAGACGCTGTCCTCACGTTTAAAGAGACAAATCACAAAATGCACTGGACCATGGAAAACACCTCTCCATGTTCAGGTTAGTGTCTGTTCAAAATGTTTCACTTCAAGAATGTTTTTTTTTTTGTCTTTTCTTTAATATTCATTTTTAAAATAAAAATGCTTCAGGAGCATTGAAATCATCATATATCTACAATTGTTTTTCAGAGCTGTTAAAATCACATTCTGTCTATGATGACCCACAAAAAGCCAACTTTACAACACATTCACCAACATGGACTGCAGAAAGGCCTGAAATTCCAGCTGATTACACCACAAACTTGACTCCTTCAGTGTCACCATCGACTACATCTACAGCATTACAGACCGCAGATCCAGACACCGGCACAACCTCAATGCCAACACCACAACTGAAGACAACTGAAGTATTCAACACATCAACTCCTCTTTCATCCCAAGAAGTGTTTTCAAGTACACTTTACAGCCCAAATCACAACTCGACAAGCTCATCTGTACACCAGTGACTGCACAGCGGATGGAAATGCAGGTACCGACTGCACACGTGATTTTTTTTTTTCATACTACACTATTACAATTGGTAGTCCATTAATCAGAGAGCAGATGTAATCACAGTTTGAAATACAGCTACACATTTAAGCGCCATTTTCACTCAGACTGGGATTTACAACACAACAGTCAAGCGGACTCATGCATCTTTTCCGTTGACAAGCAAAGTGCCTTGGAATCACATACGGGGAATGATTACATCTCAGACTGTGTTGGTCATGCTATTTAAATGGACACCTCTCAGCTAGGTGTCTTCCAGGAATAAATGTGGTGAATGAGGAGATTCTCCCCAAAAATGTGTAAAGCATTTTGAGTGTCCAGAAAAGCGCTATATAAATGTTAGCAATTATTATTATTAATTATTATTATTATTATTATTATTATAAACGTGGAACTGGACTAAATTGGTATCTAACACAAGAAAGTGGTTGATAAATTATGTAAAATATGTATTAAATGTTTTAGTTTAAAATCTGTTCCTGATTTAGAAAAGTTTTTCTTTTTAAAAATTTAGGCAGTTTTATCAGTTGCAGCTAAATGGCTCTCTATTTTTTTCTTGAGCATTTAGTATTACTGTTTTTTTTTCAGTAGTATACTTTAGTACAGATTCTGTATCGTTTGTAGTCATGGAATAATATGATTTTTTTTTTTACTGCACAATTAATCGCTATAGAAATCTCTATCCAAACACCCTCTCTATCATGTTCCTAAATGACAGCTGTTTGTTTATATCTGTTCAGCCACACACTTATAATCTCAGCACTCAAATCTGTGTTTACACTACCGCTGACACAGAGAGTGCAGTTGCTATGTATAAATAAAATTGCTTTAGTCTTCTTAACCACACTGTATTGTTATTCACGTCACATAAAAAGTCAGTTATCACAGAATTATTACTAAGATAAAACATAGTAAAAATATATTAATATATAGGTCAGATATAATTGAGTTTGTTCTAGGGCTGCACTATATATAATTTCAGCATCGTTATTGCAATATGATCAGTGGACATAGTCACATCATGAGTATACGCACTGTTGAGTCTAGACTATAATTTATTATTTCGCAAGTATTTTTCGAGGCCTGTGACTGAGGATTTTAAAGGATTCAGGCTTAAGGAATTGTACCGTTTTTACTTCATTAAAAAGTTAATTTTATTTAATTGTTTTTAAAACTAAGACTATGTGGTATTATTTTACATTTGATTGTTCAACTACTATGTACCTGAATACAGTTCAACTCTTAGGAAAACAATAAATCACTGTTTATTTGATTTGAATTATTTTTTTAAATTAATTTTATCTATGCTTGTAAATTGTTTCTTATATTTTATGCATATGTAATCCCCTACATAATTATTTCAATCAATTTTTGCAAATAGTTATGCAAGTCATCTAGTGAAATTGTATTTATATTGCAATATATATATCGCAGAATTAAAAACAAAAATTGCAGTGTTAGATTTTTCCAATATCGCACAGCCCTAATTTGTTCACACTTGTTTGTTTGTCCAGAATGAAAAACTAAATAACACAACAGCCTTTGGTGTACTTTTGTGTTCTCAGTGTCATTTTGAAAACTGCATTTAAAGCCATTTCTTTTTGTTTTGTATTTTTATGACATGTTTGTTTTGGATCCAAATTAAATACTGTGAGGGCTGATTTTAAACACGTTGCTTATCTGTGACATCTGATGGTATGTTTACAAATTGAGAGCTCCTGAAGTGCTCATTAAATTTAAAAACCATTCAAAACAGCTGCAGGAATTCCTCCATCACACACATAAACTAAGATCTGCTACAAGGAGACACCTTTCTGAAGCCTGTACTTGAACTGTATTGGGCAACATTGTAACTATAGCCGGGTTTCTATCCTAACACAAGATAATTGCCCCCAGACTCCCCCAACAAACTCCCCACCCCTAAATGTCAATTAGGTTTGTTTTCCAAATGGTTTGAGTTACCTTAACTTTTTTTACACTGTTTAAATTTAAAACTATTTTAAATGAACTGCTTATGATATATGTATAAACGTTACTGTAATAATGTAATGTTGATCTTGTTGCCAGTCCTACTGTTTAGTTTGTAGTATGTAGGTATAAAACGTGCAAGTTGAGTGGTACACTGTTAAACCCAATAAGTTAAGGTAACTCAAACCATTTAAGGAAACTGATTGCAACAAACCATTTAAGTAAAAAAAAAAAAACTAATCCTAATGAGTGCTGTGAACTTAATCCATTTGAGTAAATGAAACAATTTGAGCACAGTAAAACCCGATAAATAAAGAGAACTCAAACCTACTGGATATTTTAAAATCTAATAAGTTAAGGCAACTCAAACCGATTGAGGAAACCAGTTGCAACAAACCATTTGAGTTAAAAAACAAATCTATATGATTACTGTGAACTTACTCCATTTAAGTTGAAGTTATAAGGTATTAAATTAACTTTAACACCGAGTTCAAAACTTTTTTCAAATGAACAAAATTAACTTTTAGTCAATTTTGAATTAACTACACTCATTTCATTTGATAAAGTTGACTGTTGGGTTTTACAGTGTATGAGCTGGGTTAAAGTTCAACTAAAAAGGAAAATTCTGCTATCGTTTACTCATCCTCCACTTGTTTCAAACCTTAGAGTTAAAACTTTTTTTTTTTTATCGTAAAGGAAAGTCTAACAAAGAATGTTGAGGGGAAAAACAGCCATCGACTGGATGTCAAATTATGCTAAAAAAATTCACAAAATCTTATTTTGTGTTCAACTAAAGAAAGAAATTTATAAAAGTTAAAACCACTTGAGTGTAGGTATAGTGAGGAATTTTCATTATCTCTTCAATACATGACAATTGTGATATGGCAGAAATTAGCGAGAGAGACTCTCTAATGTCTGTCCATAAGTCTACAAAATGTTATCCTTTAGAGATGTGATATCTGTTAAAATGTTTGTTTTTTTTCGGTGTTTTTCCGCTCTGTGTCAGTATGAGAAACAGCCAGAAGAGGTCAGTGTTGATCAGTGTTTGGCTTTTACAAAATATTCCCCGTCAAGGCAAACAAAGAGAGAAGTGTGAAACTTTCCCAAAATCTGATGCCATTGTCTGTTGTTCTAAATCACAGGTGCATATATTTGTCATTATAAATATAAAAAAGTGACGCTTTATGGACATCATTTATTTTACGCATAACATAATACACTGAGCACAGAAATTTGCACTCGGTCAGATTCAGTGGGAAAACAAGCTCAAATGTGAGGTTAGCTAATTTGCCTTTACTGCGCAATTTCCCTCGCTTGAATGAATTCAATTAGACTTTTGAAAGGGCAGGCCATTTTAATGTAACCCAGTCAAGATATTCTTCTAAATTCTGAGCATCTGGAAAAAAAGACCACAGACACTCGTAAAAATTTATTGTGATTATAGTCTTGATATTTGAGCAAACCGAGGAACACCCTTTCTCATCCTAATTGTGATTGCATCTGAAAGTGTGTGTTCTGTATGAAATGAGGAAACGCACAAGCACATTTGTATGCGTTGGATATTGTGTCCTCTAGAGCATTTGTGTATTTCTCACCCGGCGGGTCAGAGGGGGGCCGCGCCGCCACGCTTTTCTTTGGCATCTGTTGCATGAACTTGTGAACAGGAAACACAATAGCAACACAAAGTACACCAACATCTCAAGGCTTTCATGTGGCTGCTTTGAGCCATTATGTTATTAGTGTAGGCTTAAAAATTCCTTTCATGTCCCCCTTCTTTTCTTTTTCATGCGAGTTGCACATCTGCGAGATGTTTGAAACCACACTCTGGTTAAATTCTGCATTGCTTTCAGAGATGTTTTTAATTGTCATAATTGATAACGATATGAGCTCAACATTCACACATTAGGGAAACTTTGCTCTTGTTTTCTTTCTTTCTGAAGGTGCTCAACATTTGTATTGAACATTATATGTGGAAGCTAGAAGGATGTTTATTTGAGGATTCTTTTTATTGTGGTAACTTTAAATTCAAGGTTAGATGCAAGAAATTACAAATGTACTTAAAAAAACTAATATCAGCAACAATGACATTTAGCTAATTTTGCATACATAAAGCATATTAAATGGAAGTAAATTTGTGCTATAATGCTTTATATTGCTTTTTTATGAAAAGAAAATGTCAAAATATTTATTTATTCATTATCCTTTGGCATAGTTGGTACAGCAGATATGAACCACCAACTTATCCATTATGTTTTACACTGCGGATGCCCTTTCAGCTGCAACCCAGTACTGGGAAACACCCATACACGCTCATTCTCTTTCTCACACACATACACACACACACACACACACACTCATACACTACGGCCAATTTAGTTTATTCAATTCACCTATACCACATGTCTTTTACTGTGGGGGACACCGGAGCACCCAGAGGAAACCCACACGAACACGGGGAGAACATGCAAACACCACACAAAAATGCCAACTCACCCAGCCTGGACTCGAACCAGTGAACTTGCTGTGAGGCACAGTGTTAACCACTGAGCTATAGTGTCGCCCATGTCAAAATATAGTGTAAAAGAAGTAATTTATGTTTAATTGAAAAGATTTATTCTGACCTGTATTTATTTAAACATTCATTTTCCTTCAGCTTAGTTTTTATTTCAGAGGTTGCCACAGTGGAATGAACCACCAACTATTCCAGCATAGGTTTTATTCAATGAATGCACTTCCAGCCACAACACAGTACCAGGAAACAACCATACACGCTCAAATACTGTCAGCAATTTATTCCAGGTGTGTCCAAACTTGGTCCTGGAGGGTCGGTGTCCTGCAAAAGATTTAGCCCCAATCAGACACACCTGGGCTAGATGATCAAGCACTTTCTAGGCTTTCTAGAAATATCTGTCAAGGTTGGTTGAGACAAATTGGAGCTAAAATCTGCAGGACATATGCCCTCAAGGACCAAGTTTGGACACCCCTGATTTAGGCAATCCAATCCACCTATAGCGCATGTCTTTGGACTTGTAGAGTGTGCATAAAATATAAAGATGTAAAATCATTTAATATTTTATACAATGTATAATCAACATTTATTTTGTGGTTTATTAAAATATTGGGATTTATTTTGATTTGAATATGTTTTATATATGCAGTGCGGTTCAAAAGTGTATCACAATGTTTAATGTCCAAAAATTACCTTATATTTTCATATTTTCAATGCATTTTAGATTTCTTTGGCATTTTACATATATGCTTCCATTAGTCAGTGTCCATATTTCTTGC